ATCTGGACCTGAAAATATATATATCTGGATAACTATAAATGATTGCGAATATCAAGGATATAATAACTGACTAATAGCACATAACTAAAATAATTATAACTCAGAAGAAAACCATAAACAATATATATTTAACCTAATAGACCAATATAATGGAACAACCAACTCAAATTTTACCAACAATAATTAAACTATCCCAAGTAGCAATATTTAAATACAACAAAGAAAAACTACCAACTATACTACTATCACAACGAATAAACCCTGAAAAAATATACTACTCATAGTACAGAATACCTGGTGGCAAACAAGAATACCTTACTGAAACTTTTGAATGAATAGCAGAAAGAGAAGCTTTAGAAGAAACAGAAATACTTTTATTCCAAGAAAAACTCATGCTAATAGAACATAGTTATTACCCACCTAAGGATACAAACGAATATAACACTACTAATCCAACTGAAATAAAAACATATATACACCCTGCGAATAACCAAAAACCAATACAAATGGAACCGCATAACCATGAAACATGAAAATATTATATCAAAGCAAAAATACTTGATCACATAATAACAACACCAAAATTACAATTACAACTTAATTCAATATTCTACACTATTAAAAATTACTAAATGATATTAGATATTAAATACCAACAAGAAGTTGACTCTGAAAACGAAGAACAATTTGAAAAACTAAAATTATCTGACCTCACTTTAAAACAATCAACAGACTTTGTAAACAAATCTTTTAAAAGCATACAACCTGAAGAAGCTTACCAAGCAAAGAAAACTGCCTGAAATATTGAAAAACAGATATATTAATTAAAAGAAACTCAGAAAAAACTTAATATAAAAATAAAGAAATACCATTAACAAAGGTTTACTATAATCTTCAAACTGGTACAACAACCACAAATATTACAACAATTAGGAAATGCACCAACATTATCACAACTCCAAAAGTCTGACCTGGCATATCAATTAATTAAAAATGAAAAATTCAAATTTAGAATTGTACAACAAGAAAACTCTGCTGAAGGCATAATTGGCGCAATTAAAGTACAACTGCTAACTAATAAACAATACAAATACGAAACAACAATAGAAAACCTCATAATAACATATCTGTCATATATCATAATGTGATACTAAATTGATACATCATAAAATACAATAATTCGCTCATACAACAAACAAAAATCAGTCGATCAAATTACTAAATTTAATAAATCACTGGCTGAACAATCCGGACATGTCTAACTGTTACTGACCCTACACATATTACGTGTAGACCCACAGCCATCTTTACTAAAAGCAAATTCGCACCCAAACCCTCCCATCCATATAAATTTACATTGAATCTACATAGAATTCTGCCATTTGTGGTAGCTTAAATGTCTCTTTACGGCCAGCTTGTGTTATACAGGTGGGAAACTACTAGCCAAGATCATGTGACCACAAAGCTTCTGGTAACAGCCAGCTAGCATTTATGTGAGCAGAAAACCACCAGCTGATGCTAATTATACATCAAACTATACATACCGCCCAAACTACAAAGTTTTAAAATCCCACCCAAACCCAAATCCCAAGTGGAAAAATCCCAAATCTCATTCTGGAAAAACCTTATTTGGGCTGCTATAATCCCAAACTCCAGTCAAATCCCAAACTCCATCCCAAATCCCAAATTCCGTCCCAAATCCCATCCCAAATCCCAAATCCTATCACATGTCCCAAATCCCAAATTCCGTCACAAATCCCATCCCAAATCCCAAATCCCATCACGTGTCCCAAATCCCATCACATGTCCTAAATCCCAAATCCCATCCCAAATCCCATCCCATGTCCCAAATCCCAAATCCCATCTCAAATCCCATGTCCCAAATCCCAAATCCCATCCCAAATCCCATCCTACATA